AGTCCCCCAAATGTCCCTGTAAGTCCTGGTGTGATGCTAGCCTCCAAATGGCTGACACAAGCAGTTTTATAAAGGAGAGACCCTCTTGATGGCTTCGTGTATATTGTTGGGTGGGATGGGGACAGTCATTGTTGATAGCCAGCCTGGGCCAGGTATTTCCCAGCAGCTCTCTGAGGGGTTATTCCAGCCAAGGATGGCCATGCCCTAAGGTTAAGGAACCTGCTTGTGGTCCCAGAGCTGGAATTGAGATTGGCGATCTTGGGCTGGGTGGCTGTAAACCCCAGGGACCCTCTGTGCCCCCTGCCCTCACTCAGCCCCTCCCTCCACAGGTAACCAGAGGTGATTCCCTACTGCCCAGGCAGAGGGCTGGGGCTGGTTGGGGTCTAGATGGTCACTTAGTGGTTTCCCAAGCTGAATCCTGATCAAAATTGTCTGGGGGATTTTAAAAAGAAAAAGATTTGAATCGGTGCATGCTGGGGTGGTGTCTACAGATGGGTATTTTCAAACATTTCCCGGGTGATTCTGATCATCAGCCCCTGCTCTGATCCTCCCTTTCATTTTCCAGTCAAGGACACTGGGACCAGAGAGATGAGATGCCATGGCCAAGGCCACTGGGCTGTAGCCAGAGCCAGCATCAGGTCCAAAGTGCAATCTCAGTAGCCAGTTCTCCGTGCTCCGTGTTTGCCCAGACTGCCGCCACTGCTCCTGGAACCCAAGGAAGGCCTTTGACCAAGGGCTGGCAAAACCTTGGCAGGACCTTGCCCTAGGCTGGAAACCTCAGGGCTCCAGCCAGGGTTCACCCCCAAGAAGATGCACTGCCATTCTCCAAGGTATGGGGGCCTCTCCCCTGGAGGGTGCTAGCTGGAGCCACCCCTCGTCCACAGGCCTGCGTTAGGCACCCTACCCAAGACCGGTTGCCTCTGCTCTGCACGTGGTTCTGCAGATCACACCCAGGCTTGAGAAGTGCGGCGACGTGCGGACTTTGCATTGATATGGAAAGGTCCAAATTAAAGGTGATGGCAATGAAAGCGAAGTCCAAGAAAGTGTGGCTCCTATTTAGGGGTGGTGGACTAAGAGACAGTACCCTTTCACGATAGTGGGTATTCTAAATTGGGTTTGTTTGTTCATTGATTCATTCATTCAACAAAGGTTTATTGGGTCCCCAATAAATCATCTTACTGGTCCTTGGAGATCTGCTGTGAACAAGACAAACACAACCCCACCTCTGTGGCCTGCAGAACCCTGGAAGGTCACATACTAGAACCCCATCACCTGGCCTCTCCATCAGTCACTGTCATGTAGCCCCTTGACAGGGGACTCTTGTGTTATTACTGACAGTAATGATGGTTTCAGACACATATTATTGCATTTAGTTTTCTCAACCATTCTCTCAAGTGGGGAAGCTCAAGCTCAGAGAGTGTAATGACCTCGCCCAGGGTCATACCATGAGTGATAGAATCTGAATTCAGTCCCAGTTCCCTGATTCCAAAGCTGGGGTTCTTGACAGGTACATTGTACCACTTGGGTACCCTTGCTTTTTGTCCAGGACCATGATAAGAAGAAGCCAGGTGACACACGAAGCTTTATTTGCTCTAAAACTTGAGCGACGTCATATGTGCTAATGGAGGAGTTTTGTCTCTTCCTTCCCAGCATGAACTCTTTGCATGGTGCACACATCTTCATTTGTTCTGGCCAACAGGCCGCTAGGGAGCTAAATGAGGTGTTGTGACCATGACCTGGGTATTCTCTTGATTCAGATGCCTTCTTGGTTGGCACATTCACTTGTCCTTCCCTTGGCCTTTCTTGCTTATAATGCATCCCTTTTAAATTTTATTATTATTATTTTTTTTAAAGACAGGGTCTCATTCTGTCGCCCAGGCTGGAGTGCAGTGGCAAGGTCATAGCTCACTGTAGCCTCAGACTCCTGGGCTCACGGCATTCTCCCACCTCAGCCTCCCAAATAGCCAAGACTACAGTGTGTGCCACCAAGCCTGGCTAATTTCTTAATTTTTTTTGTTAAGACGAGGTCTCAGTGTGTTGCCCAGCTTGATCTCAAACTCCTGGCCTCAAACAATCCTCCTGCCTTGGCCTCCCAAAGCACCGGGATTATAGGTGTGAGCTGCCACACCTAGTCTAATGTATCCTTTTATTAAATTAGATGAAATCTTTTTTGAAAGTCTTAAAATAGAAATCACTTAAAAAAACCTGGGGCCCAGGTGTCTTGGCAGCTGCCTTGGGCTGGGCCAGAAGATGTTTTCAGCAGTCTGTGGTAGGAAAAAGGGAGCAGAGTAGCAAGTTTTTAATAAAGCTAAATCTAGCTGGGCTTACATCTGTAATCCCAGCACTTTGGGAGGGCGAGGTGGGTGAATCACGAGGTCAGGAGTTCGAGACTAGTCTGGCCAACATAGTGAAACCCCGTCTCCACACAAAATACAAAAAATTAGCTGGGTGTGGTGGCAAGTAATCCCATCTACTCAGGAGGCTGAGGCAGGAGAATCGCTTGAACTTGAGAGGTGGAGGTTGCAGTGAGTCGAGATCATACAGCTGCACTCCAGCCAGGGCGACAGTGTGAGACTCTGTCTCAAAGAAAAAAAAAAAATAAAGCTAAATCTAATGTAAGTTACCGTTTTATATTCAGAGGTAGTCTTCCTTGGTTTTTTTTTTTTTTTAAGTGTTAAAAATGCTCTTTCTTTTAGGAAATGATGTTTGCGGTAGAGGGCAGTGGTGATCATTGCTTATATTGTTATTGTTTTTGTGTCCTTTCTTGGCAAAATAAAAAGCTGGCCTTGGTGTGCCCATTTCTGTTGTGGTTTTAATAGCCAGTGGAATCTGTAATCTGAAAATGACCACTAATTCAGGTGATTGGTTTTCACTGTTTCCCTAAGCCCTGGGGTAGCTGGGGCTTTCTGTCCTGGGAAGTGAGAGAGGGAGCCCCGTAGAGTCCTTTGCCCATCTTCAGTCAGAGAAGCCCTCCTTTTCTATATATAGGATTAGGTTTTTTTGTATGAGTTTGTTTGGAGATGAAAGGATACCCTTGCCAAAAGTTGGAAAGCTTCTTGTCTAGTATGTTTGGGGGAGGGGGAGGGAGGGAAGAAGGGAGTGAGGGTGGAGGAAGAGAGGGAGGGAGGGAGGAAGAAGGAAGGAGGGAATATGGTTACTTTGGTGGGACTGAGCCATGGTGGATCTTCCACTTGGCAAGTATTTCTTACCTGCTGTACTAGTCAGACTTCTCCAGAGAAACAGATAATGGGATGTATACAGTCTGCTAGGGTTTATAAGACAGGCCTTTGGTTGAAGGCCTTCCTTGGGTCCTAGCAGACAGAAACCAGAGAAACAGAAACAACAGAGAGAGAGAGAGAGAGACAGAGAGAGAGAGAGAGAGAGACAAAGAGAGAGGTCTATATCCAGCTACATAGAGAGGTTATCTGTCTGCCTATTTATCTGTCTGTTTATCTGTTATCTACCTATCTCTCTGCCTGTTATCTATCTGTCTATCTATCGCTCTGTCCATCTATCCATCTACCTACCTACCTATCTATCTAATCTACCTACCTACCTAGAAATTGAGAGATTTATTTTGAGGATTGGCTCACACGATTGTAGGGGCTGGCAAGTACAAAATATGCAGGGTAGAGACCCAGGGAGAGCTGATGTTATAGTTTGAGTCCGAAGGCAGAATTTCTTCCTTGAGAGAGAAATTCTGATGAAACGAGGTGTACGTACTCATGGTATAGTAGAAGTTAATCTGCTTTACTCACAGTCTACTGATTCAAATGTTAATCTCATCTAGAAAATACCTGCATCTATACATCTAAACTAGTGTTAGATCAAATATCTGGGTACCGTGGCTCAGCCAGGTTGACCCATAAAATTAACCATCACACCTGTGCAGGTGCCTCTCCCTCCTGGGTGGTGTCCTAGGGATGACAGAGGAAGGGAAAGCCAGGTCTCTGTTTCAAGGAGACAAGATTATGCATACGAAGAAGTTAAGAATGCTGCTCTGTCTGTGGAGTAGCCATTCTTTTATCCCTTTACTTTCTTAACAAAATTGCTTTCACTTTAAAAAAAAAAGGAAAGAAAGAAATTGGCTGGGTGCAGTGGCTCACGCCTGTAATCTCAGCACTTCGGGAGGCTAAGGCGGGCAGATTAGGAGGTCAGGAGTTCGAGACCAGCCTGGCCAAAATGGTAAAATCCTGTCTCTACTAAAAATACAAAAATTAGCTGGGCGTGGTGGCGGTTGCCTATAATCCTAGCTACTTAGGAGGCTGAGGCAGAATTGCTTGAACCCAGGAGGTGGAGGTTGCAGTGGGCTTAGATTGCGCCACTGCACTTCAGCCTCCGTGACAGAGCGAGACTCTGGCTCAGAAAAAAAAAAGAAAGAAATTAAGAAGAAGACCATTTATATTTAAGTGCCAACTTATAAGAATAAAACGCAAAAAGGTATTTAGAGGTGATGAGGCAATTGAGGGCTGGAGGATTCGGGGAAATTTCATGGTGTAGGGACTAACAGGAGCTTCCAGAACATGGAGGTTTCAGATAAGTGAGGACACAGAAGACTTCACCACCAGAGTGGTAACTGCAGGACAATTCTACATCTATCTAGGACTCTGAGTTTTTGAAGGGTTTTCATATGCATTGTTTGGTTTGCTGCTTGCAACAATCCTGTTTTTTTAATTGAAGGTCTTAAGGTCCAGAGAAGTTAAGGAATTCCCCAGAGGCCACACAGCTTGCCAGTGGCAGGGGAAGGTCTTTCTCTTCCACCTCCTTCTCTCTCTTTCTCCCTTTATGGGGCATAATGAAATCTGCATGTGCACATTCATGTGGACTTCATTATGTCCATGTAGAATTCATTTTGATTTCAAATATGTTTCCTTCCCAGATAAATCCTGTGAAACCATGAACATTGTTTTTTCTCTCTCTTTCTCCAGATCTGATTTTCCTTCTTTACCATCCTCATTAAATCTCTTTTTTGTTTGTTTTCTCTTCTCGCCCACTCCCAGACGCGAATGCAGAGTTTGAGTCCAGATCCCAGAGCCCAGTACACGAGTATCTACGGAGCCCTCAAGAGAATCATGCGGACCGAAGGCTTCTGGAGGCCCTTGCGGGGCCTCAATGTCATGATCATGGGTGCAGGGCCGGCCCACGCCATGTATTTTGCCTGCTATGAAAACATGAAAAGGACTTTAAATGACGTTTTCCACCACCAAGGAAACAGCCACCTAGCCAACGGTATTTTGAAAGCGTTTGTCTGGAGTTAGAAAGTTCTCTTCTTCAACACGTCCCTCCCCAGGGTGTTCCTCCCTGTGACCCAGCCGCCTCGACTTCGGCCCGCTTGCTCACGAATAAAGAACTCTAGAGTTGTGTGTGCAACGCACACCCAGACACACGCACACACACGCGCGCGGCACACACATGCTTTTGTCTGTTCCCCACCGCTTTCTGAAGCCTGGGGAGAAATCAGTGACAGAGGCGTTTTCGTTTCATTGTTGTATGGGTTTTCTTTTCTTTCTTTTTTTTTTTTTTGTTTTGTTTTGTTTTCAAACATTCAAAAACAATTAATGATCAGACATAGGAGAAACCCTGAATAGAAACAAAACTTTTGAATGCTGGATTCAAAAAAAAAAAAAAAGTTATCTGGACAGCTTCTTTGAGACTATTTAAAAACTGGTACAACAGGTCTCTACAACGCCAAGATCTAACTAAGCTTTAAAAGGTCAAGAAGTTTTATGGCTGACAAAGGACGCTCCACGCAGAAGGCCTTTCCCACCTTAAGCTTCTGGGATTTGGGAATTTGACCCCCATTCTCTTCTGTTTGTCTGAGTTGCATCTCTCTGCAAGCAAGGGCTGAAATCATTTTGTTGGGTTGTTTTGAGGGAGGGCTGGGGTGGGGGGTGCAAGTCAGCCGGCAGCTCTTACATAAGGCACGTTTTATTGGGCAGGGCTGAGCTCTTATTTTCTCCTCTCCTGTGGGGTTGCTTTTGTTTTTTGTTTGGGTTTGGAATGGAAATATGGATAGCAGCATAAAGTACCTTTGTTCTGACAAAATTCATTTGTTTCAGCAATGGAGATGTAGATAAGACCAACAATAACTTTTCCCCCGTCTTTTGATTCTGCTGAAAAATCATCTGTCCTCCCATCAGCCAACCTTGGTCATAAGCGTGCCCGGCTGGCTTGCAGATATTTGTTTTGTTTTGTAAAAATTGGCCATTAGTGCATTTATTGAGATGGTTGCTGAAGAGCCAAGCCCTGACCTACCCCTGAGTCTGTGACGTTGGGGTCCTTCTTTTGCTGAAACTGCCTTATGTAATGGTTTCGCTCCTGGAAAGAGATTTAACGGAATCCATTTCATGCCAAGTACTGGCCTGCGCTGTTTCTGCAATGTGTGGTGTATGCTATGGTGGCATTTTGATCTTGCTGGGAATGATGATAAGTGTGTGTGCGGTGGGGGAGAGGGTATGACATGCATTGCTGGAGAGTCATCCTGGTATTCCTCATTCCTCCCACCTTCCCGTGGTCATTTTAATTACAGGTTAGTGTCACCGCAAAGGGAGGAAACTCAAAGCCAAAAGCCAAAATTCCAGGCCTGATTCTGGCTTTTGAAGTTCCTGGTTCTTGAAGCCAGGCCTGACCCGACCCTCAGATGGGGTCAGTCCTGTAGCTTTGCAGACTGACCCTGGAAATCTACCAAATGCAGATTATCCTGATTTCCTCTTCTCTTTCCCAGCTTTTTTTTTTTTTTTTTTTTTTAAAGCCTGGATTTTAACCAGATTTTCTTTTTTCCCTTTCTCAGCTGTAGATATGATATTATTTCCTTTCAGGGCCCCAGTTAAGGGCAAAGTGAGTTAATGTGTAGACAAAGGCAAAGGATGAGAGAGAATTAACATCTAGACAGTGGGAAAAGCCAAGCCGTGTGGTTTCTGGGACCCACCCAACACTTGCAGGTTTAGCTTCTTCCCAGGGTTGACTATAAGAAAGAAAAGGAGGTTTTTGTAAGATTCCAGTGTGGGTGAGTGTGCTAAATGAACCAGCCCCATTTGTATCCTATTTTCTCCATCCCTTTAGGGTACTAAGAGTCAGGGCTCACCTGGGTGGAGCTGGCAGTACATTTCGCTTCTTAGAAAACTAAGTCCTGGGTTCCGTCTGATTTTAGGTTCCAGGAACTTCCTGAGAACACCGGGTCGCAGAGGGTAATTTTCTGGAGTTTGTTTTGCAGGGATAGCTGGGAGTATGGCCACCCTGCTCCACGATGCGGTAATGAATCCAGCAGAAGGTAATGTTTCATGGTCCCAGGGAGGGGCAGTAGGGGATGTGCAAAGTGGCACAAAAAATGGTGGTGGGGGAGTGGTGAGGACTGAAGGTGGGCAGGGCGGCTCCTGGACCCCAGTCAGAGCAGATAGGAGAATTGAATTCTTTACTACATTATGAAAGGCCTCAAGAAGGGACATGAACATTTGGGTTTTATGGTATTCCTGTGCTCAGAAACACAGCTGCTGAAAGTATGGTCTTCAGATCAGCATCATCAGACCTCCTTGGGGGGTTGCAAATGCTAATCCTGAGACTGGGCTCAGTGGCTCACGCCCATCATCTCCATACTTTGGGAGGCCGAGGTGGGAGGATCACTTGAGGTCAGGGGTTCGAGACCAGCCCGGCCAACATGGAGAAATCCTGTCTCTACTAAAAATACAAAAATTAGCTGGGTGTGGTGTGTGTACCTGTAATCCCAGCTACCGGGGAGGCCAAGGCGGGAGAATCACTTGAACCTGGCAGGCAGAGGTTGCAGTGAGCTGAGAGCACACCATGGTAGTCCAGCCTGGACCTCAGAGACAGACTCCATCTCAAAAGAAAAAAAAAGAAAAAGAAATGCTAACTGGCCGGAGCGGTGGTTTAAAACTGTAATCCCAGCACTTTGGGAGGTCAAGGCAGGCGGATCTATTGAACCTGGGAGTTTAAGACTAGCCTGAGTAGCATAATGAGACCCTCGTCTCTACAAAAAATACAAAAATTAGCCGGGTGTGGTGGTGCATGCCTGTAGTCCCAGCTGTTCAGGAGGCTGAGGAAGAAGAATTGCTTGAGCCTGGGAGGGCGAGGCTGCAGTGACTGGTGATCGCACCACTGCACTCAGCCTGCGCTATAGAGCAAGACTCTGCCTCAAAACAGAAAAGAAACGCTAATTCTCAGGCTCGACACCGAGCCTCTTGCATCAGAATCCCTGGAGCTAGGGACCAGAATCTGTTTCCTGGTGGTTTCTACTGCATTTGCACTACTCTAAAACCTGTATGTATACACCACCCCCCCACACGCACACACCCCTAGCCCTTGTTAATCCTTATCAATCCTAGACAAATGTATGGGGAACCCATCAGAGGCTATTCTTAAGGGCTAGTGTTCAGTCTTTAATTTGCAAGGTTATGGATCATGTTTCAAACAGATGGGAATGTAGAGAGAATAGTATGATGGACCCCAGTGTGTCCATCTCTGTGCTTCAGAAATTGACATTGGGTCATTTTGTTTTAGCCATCTCTTTCCACATTATTTTCTTTTTGTCATTTTAAATTTCGGAGGTATTACGAAGCGAGCCTCAGCTGTGCAAACCTGAGTCTGTTCCCTTTTTACATATCCCGGCGTCTTAGCTAGCTGGGGTCTGAATAGTGAGGACCTTTTGCGCCTGGCACCGGGCAGGCCTTCAGCTGGGTCATTCTCTACCTGGCGATGGCTTTAGGTGAGCTGTGGAGCTCTCTTCACCTTCTTGCCCCATCTGAAAATAGTTACTGGCCAGAAGGGAGAAATGGAGAGAAAAGTTTCAACATTTTAAGTCTCATGCTATAAGTTTGCCTATCTTTTGTCTTTTAAGGTGAAGCTTTTAAACTTGCTTTCAGCCACCTGCCATGTCCTCATGGATAGGGGACTTGGTCTGACCTTCAGGGTTGTGGTGTGGCGGGTTGGGAGGTGGGCAGGGAGTCTCTATGGTTTGGGTGCTAAGCATGACCCGATGGGCAGGTGAAGAAAGGCACCTTCTGCATTCCTGGGGATTTCTTTATCATGTCCTGCACCAGGCATGCTGGAGGGACACACACCTTTTCCCCTTTTTATTTACAAAGTAGAGAGCTGAGAAAGAGAGCTCGTGTTCTGTTTTGTTTTGTACACATTACCTTTCTCAAGAGATGTGATGTTCTTAAGTAAATTGACCTGCCTTCATGGCTTGTGCTGTAAGGAACGCATTCAAGACAGTGTTTTGAAGGCAAGAAAGAGGTGCTCTTAGCTAGGCAGGGGCGAGGAGGAGGAAGCACTTCTAGGAAGTAGTTCAATGAAAAACCTAAAAATGTCCCAAATAAATATTCGCTCACATATTGTATATCTTAGGCTTCTTTTTATGGGAGTTCATTCAGGGACCTGGTCAGTGAACAGGTAGTTAACTTTGTGTAACCAAGCAAGGGTTTTGTTTATCTTTTTTAAAGAGAAAAAAGTGAGACTTAAGCTGTCTCTTTCACCTTGTCATAGCTATTGATTTAGGGTCCTTATTTCTTTAAAAGTAAAGCAAAGCCCATTGTGTGTATTTATTTGGCAATACATGAAGCCATTAAAACCCTGAGCCTAAGGTACCACAGTCTCATTTGCCTGTTGTCCTGTGAACCCCAGTTAGAAAGTCATTGAACTTGGGCAGACATGATTCCAGTGTCTGTTCCAAACGCACTGTGTCACAGAAGCGAGAATTACCGTTAGAGGCACAAACCCCTGCGAATACTCGAGGGTACACGCTTCCGGTAGATGTGCCAGGGATGGATGAGGGCAGAGGGTACAGGGGACAGGATTCAGCTTTGTGGTGGGTGCTGAGGGTTCCTGCCAGGGCCAGCCAGGGTCTAGGAAAGAGATCCGTGATTCTAGTCTGAAGTGGCTGCCTGGTTTGGGGGCTGCCTTCAGCAAGATTCGGGCAGGAGAAACTTCAGGATGTAGCCACCTTCTTGGCAGTGGGTCCTGGAGATAAAAATGGATTTTAATCCAGGACTGCCGGGAGCTGGCCGTCTGCGGCGGCTCAGGCTGGGGCTGTGTGTGCTGGCTCTCATCTGTCTCCGGCATGTCTAACTGGCTTGTTTCTCTTTATGGCTTGGCTTCATTCTGACCTGGGGTGGGGCCACGTCTGACCCACTGCCCACTGGCTGTCCGTCTGGCCTGCCCTGCGGCTCCAACCACAGTGGTGAAGCAGCGCTTGCAGATGTACAACTCGCAGCACCGGTCAGCCCTCAGCTGCATCCGGACGGTGTGGAGGACCGAGGGGTTGGGGGCCTTCTACCGGAGCTACACCACGCAGCTGACCATGAACATCCCCTTCCAGTCCATCCACTTCATCACCTACGAGTTCCTGCAGGAGCAGGTCAACCCCCACCGGACCTACAACCCGCAGTCCCACATCATCTCAGGCGGGCTGGCCGGGGCCCTTGCCGCGGCCGCCACGACCCCCCTGGACGTCTGTAAGACCCTTCTCAACACTCAGGAGAACGTGGCCCTCTCTCTGGCCAACATCAGCGGCCGGCTGTCAGGCATGGCCAATGCCTTTCGGACGGTGTACCAGCTCAATGGCCTGGCCGGCTACTTCAAAGGCATCCAGGCGCGTGTCATCTACCAGATGCCCTCCACCGCCATTTCTTGGTCTGTCTATGAGTTCTTCAAATACTTCCTCACCAAGCGCCAGCTGGAAAATCGAGCTCCATACTAAAGGAACAGGCTATGGGAAGGGATCATAGAATCTTTTCTTCTTAAAGCCATTCTCTGCCTGCATCCAGCCCCTTGCCCTCTCCTCACACCTACATTTTTTTGCAGGGTGCTCCCTATGGGTCCTCTGCTCCTCGATGCCTTAGAGGGAGGAGGGGACGGGCCAGCTGCTCACGGGAAGGCTGTCTGCAGGGACATCCGAGGCGGTGGTGGACCAGAAAGGCTTTGGAAGGGGAGCGAGAAATTGCTTTTTCTCTTCCTCCCTTGGCAGAATGTAGCTTTTCTGCTTCACTGTGGCAGCCCCCTCTGTGGATCCTCAGATCTCACAGGAGGGAAGAAAACTTGCAGTGACTGAAAACAGTAAAAACATTTTTTATGTATATAAAAGTTACATTACACAGTACAAAATAGATGGATAATGTTTATCCTTTATTTTTCTATGTAGAAGTTTTTGAATTTGTGTGTGTGCTTGTGCGTGTCTACACCTAGTATTACGGCTGGGACTCTAGCTGTTTTTTTTTTTTTTTTTTTTTTTTTTTTTTTTTTTTTTTTAAATGAGAGGGTTGAATTCTTCCATCAGGTGAACGAAAAAGGCACCAAAGTAATAAATCACTGAATGTGGCCTGCAGCTGTGTTTTTAGCCCCTCCAGATGGAAGTTTCACTTGAATGTAAAATAATAAAAATTGTTTATATTTTGAATTTCTCTTTTCATGGGGGGAAAAAAGGTACGTTTAAAAAAATTTAAATAATGATATGTCACTTGCAGCTACCTTTTTTTTTTTCCTTTTAAATTCAATCAGCCACTTCATGTGCCTTTTTTCCTTTGTCTTTCCCCAAAATGCCAGGACCAGAGACCTAGACCTGGCCCCGGCCCGTTTACTCCTGCTGTGTACACACACGCACACGTGCGGGGGGCAGGATCTCGCCCGCTGGAGGTTGGTGGAGCGCAGCAGAATCAGGGCGGCTGGGCGTAAACCTGTTGAGACTGCCTCCTCCCCTTGTGAGCGAGGTGAATCCTGCCTCCCCGGTCAGCACTTAGAAGCCCTTCATAGGTAGCACTTGGCTACCTGCGGAGCAGGTGTTTGGAATGAATCCTACCTTCAGCCTAGGAGTTGTTTCTGCCTCAGCTTTTAACTCAGGCACTTCAGGTAACGTGATCCATGTGTGTTTTGACGGACTCTCCTCATCCCCTGCTTCCCTGTGCGGTCTAGGGAAGCACGTCTCCAGACTGTCCCCCGTCCTGTCCCACCCCTTAACTCCCACGTCACAGCTTCTCACCGCATGCGGCAAGAGCCAGGCCTATCTGCGAGGGCCCTGCGGCTCAGGTCTGACCTGGATCGCCTTGCCCGAGTCGGGAGACCCCTCTCCAGAAGCCATTCTGCAGCCCCGTCCGCTCTGCGTCATCCGAGAACACAGGCCTCGCAGCCTTGCTCTCTGAAATGGTGTGTCCGCGGGTAAGACGGTCGCGCAGAGAAAATGCAAGCCCGTTTTCCCTAGCGGTGCCGTTTGGTGCTCTGGGGCCGCCGCGCAAGGGAATACTGATGGGGCGAGAGGCACCGGCTCCGATTTGGGGCCCTCACCAGAGCTTATCTTTAAAAACGGGCGGGAAGCTCAGGCGTGTTTGCGTTTCGGCGAGCCGGGTCCTGACCTGCAGCCACCCACCACGCTCAGTGTGGTTGCATCTCACCGAGCAGGTGCAGGCCTGGGGTCTTTTGAGTAGCGTGACTGCCTAGGAAGTAACACATGGAGAATTTCCATCTTGGGATCATGCACACAGTGCCCAGGAGAGTAGTTTTTGCTCTGATAGCGATGAGGAATTCTATCAACAAACAGTCAGTTGACTTCTTTTTTCAGATCAGGGATGGGAAAGAGCCACACTGGGTACCTCCCGCGTGTGCCCCGTGAACAGCCCCTTGCGGCTGGGCTGTGGGGCTTGGCTGCTGCCTTGTCCCATCTGGGGGTTAACACCTCCTCCCTGCTCTGCCCGCCCCCCTCTCCATACTCCAAAGCCAGTTGCAGCCTCAGCCCTACGTGAGGATGCAGAAAGCCGTAATGTCCACGCCGCTGCTGAAATTGTTTACATCTGTGCTCTCAGCCTGCCTTGGGTTTGTGTTAAATGGTGTTAAATTCTGCAAACGGAGGGGAGGAAATCAAATTCTAAATTCCAAAGTGAATTTAAGGAAAATTTGTAAAAAATTATCCTACCACCCCTTTGTGTCCACCTGAGATGGGCCGCACTGCAGCAAGACAGTCCCTACGGGATTTGGCTTTCACTGGTGTTTAGAAAACAAACTGTTGATTTCTCTAGGAAAACTCCTTTGGTTAGGGGGATGCAAGAAGGGAAGATGAAGGCTGGGCACAGTGGCTCACTCCTGTAATCCCAGCACTTCGGGAGGCCAAGGCAGGCGGATCACTTGAGGTCGGCAGTTTGAGACCAGCCTGGCCAACATGGTGAAACCCCATCTCTAGTAAAAATACAAAAATTAGCTAGTCATGGTAGTGGGTGTCTGTAATCCCAGTTACTTGGGAGGCTGAGGCAGAATTGCTTGAACCCAGGAGGTGAAGGTTGCAGTGAGCTGAGATCGTGCCACTGTACTCCAGCCTGGACGACAGAGCGAGACTGAGGTCTCAAAACAAAAAAAGAAGGAAAGGTGAAAACCGGATCTTGGAGCTCTGTGGGCCCGGATTGCAGGCCCCTCCCTGTGTGATGAGGGTTGGGCCAGCTGGGGGAGTCACCTGGTCAGCCTGCTTGCCCCACCTGGTCATCAGGAGGTTGAAGAAAGCCTTGATCGCTGTGAAGCACTAAGCAGATACAAGTGTTTGTTAATTTTGTAGAAATTAACTTTCCCCTCTGGCCTTTATCTCCCTAGTTGGTATTGTAGCCCCATGCAGACTGCAATCAAGTTTTTGACTGTGACTCAACATTGCAAAGTGCTAAATAGGAAGAGGTCACCCCACGTTGCTATCCACCCCCTCCCTGACCAAGTCAATATAATGGCAACATGTACTTGGTCCTTGGTGTCTTGGAGTGACATCTGCAGCCAGTCAGTGCCCCCTGAGTCCAGCACTTGTACTTTTACATGGTGTGTGTGTGAGTAGCTCTGATGCCCAAACCATAATTTCAGGTTCAACCACTTGTAGCTGAAAGCTTTATTTTAGAACAATAAACTGATGTTTTCCAGATGGGTGATATCTTCCACCCATGACTATGTTTTCTTAACTTTGCGTTGAATCTATTTACTGGGTTACATTCTATGTGTAGTTTGTTTTTTCATTTATTGCTCTTTTCTTTTAAAATGCTCATGTCTTATTCCAAGCATCATCCTCCAAAGCCCCCAAAAAGCTGCATCTCCAACCAGTTGTTATGCCAATAAGGTTTTATTTAACTTTATTTAAGGATGATTGTATCTTCGAACTGCAAATGTACTGCTGCTTCCTACCTGCAAGATGCACAATGTATGTTTTAAGGGTGAGCAAGTGTTATTTGTTAAATTCCTCAGATGCCTGTAGTGACTATTGTTTCTGCCTCTCAATTGTTGCCAGCTCTTTGAAGAAGGGGAGAATTGTGTGTGTGTTTGTGTGGGATGTTTCTGATATGCTGCTACAGTTGCAACACTGGAGCTAGAGAAAATAAAGTATTGATCTTTGAAGTGTTGTGGGTTCTGTGGTGGGAATCCTGAAATGAGAGGGGAGTGGATGGCAAGAGGGTTCGTCCTTCAGGGTGCCTATTCCTTTTCCTCTTGAGCACCCTGGACCAGGGTCTGCAGCTTTGATAGGAGCTGCCCCTTCAACCTCCTTTCCCCAGATCCATTGTGGTTTTGTGTTGTCCTGCTGGGGAGGAGTGGGAGCTTTCCCACCGGCTGGGCTCACGATGCTGGGGAGGGTGGCAATTTCCTTTCTCACTGTGGGAGCCTGGGTGTGGCAGGCTGCAGGTGGTTCTTTGTAACCTGTGCTCATGCCTGTTTTCTCTGTCGCACACCTCAGGTTAAGCCAGAGAATGTAACCTCTTTTGGAGGTGGGAGGAGGGAAGGTTTGGGCCCCTTACAGAAGCCAGGGATGACTCTGACTCTTCCGGCAATTTTGAAAGTCTGAGTTTCCACCTTCATTATGACCACTGAAGCCCTTGGCCTGCAGGGGTGCAGGGTCAGAATTGAGGTCAGGCCTGAGAACCGGTCAATGCCGGGGTGCCCAGAGGTGGGAAGGGGTGATGTTTAGCAGGTGGGAAGCACTGAGATAAACTCCCTGTTTTGTAATTTACCTATGGCCAATGCTGCACTGCTCCAGCTTGTGGTTGCTTCTCCTCTTCTGGGGAGGGGGGTGGCACAGATGGTCTGCTTCCAGTAGATACAGATTCATTCCACAGATATCCCCCCTCTGCCTCCACCACAGAATCAATCAGCCCACACATTGGCTGTGCCTCCCATGAGCAGAGCTTCATGCAGGTGCTGGGGACAGAGTGAAGCAGAAGATGTGGTCCCTGTCCTCTAAGGTCTTACAGCCTAGTACAAGAGTATGAGGGGAGATGCAAACTCCTTCAGGCAATCAGATCTTGACCCACCAAGATGGTAGCCAAGTCAGCTATGGAAGCTTTCTGCCCATTAGAACAAGGTCCATGTGACAGTGGCCTTGGTCTTACTTGCTGCTTTCTCCCCAGCCAGTGGTGTGCTGGGGCTGGCCCTGCACCAGCTCTCTAGGGTGTACAGTGCACATTCCTTCCCAGCTTCACATTCCGTATTACCATGTTGGTAGCTTGAAATTGACAACAGTGGGGATATTTACGCCACAGAAATTGTCAGGTGCTACTAATCAGGGCCTTTGCTTTTCCGAGAGCTAGTTTACCAGCACACCACTGCTGGCACATAGCACAGTGCTTGGTGTGTGCTAGGTGTTCAGTGAAGATTTGCTGAGAGGAAGATATGAAAAGTAGAACCCAGTTTCAACCTGGGGTAGGGGCCCTTCTGTGGCACCTCCCTTAGTTTGCCACCTGCCCCCTCATGGCAGAAACCATCTTTCTATCACTCAGGATCCCTCTCTAGCACGACCACATTTAAATTCCAGCCCTAAAAAGGCCATGAAATGAAGGTATATCCTTTCCTCTGGGGCCAAGGTCTCCTTACTGCGTTGCATGTGTTCTAGTTACCAGCTATCTCTTCTGGGATAGACCTCTGCTCCTACCCAAGGAGGGGGCTTAATGTGATAAACATCTCGGAGAGGAAGTAATGAGCTAGTCTTGTACAAGGGAGAGACACAGCCACTGGGCAGATGTGGAAGTGGGTTATTATTGCTCGCAAGACAACAAAGCATTGCCTCTGGCCTAAGTCTGAATGCAGAGTGGCCTAGGAGAAATCAGTGCAATCTGGGAGAAAAGAGCTTGGTTTGCCTCCATAAGGGCTTTGTAGGAGACACCCTCATGGTAAGTAAACTTCCAGTAAGAGCTTTGACTGCCATTGTAAGAAGTTTGACCTTTAAGGAGTAGGTAATGGGAAGTCACCAAGAGTCTTTGAGCAGGGGGCACCATGATTGGAGCTTGGTTCTAGGGAAAGTCATCTGGCTGAAGTGCACAAGACCGAGTGAAGAAGAAATATGGAGGAGGCCAGAAGATGGTCAGTTTTGTGTCACAGTGAAATTGTCCAGAAGAGGCATGACTAAGAGAAAGGTACAGAATGAGTGAGAATGGACTGATGAGAGTGTAAGAGGTG